GCCTGAAACAAACTGTATCAATCTGACCGCGTTCTCTGGCATCCTCTCCTTTGGATAAAATGCCCTAGGTAGCTGAGGAACGCAAATAAAGCCAGCTGAGGATAAGGATTAAACCCAAAACGGTATACCTAGTACGCACGTCATACCTCCCGTTTATCGACCGCCTGCAATTAGCCACGAACGGACGTCGAAGACAAGCACACAGAAATACCGGCTCTCATCCCGATCAAATCTCTGAATGTCTCTCGCGCTGGGTAACGTCTTAACTACTGGAGCCGGATTGTCGTTTCAAGTCTCTTTTCCCACAGTGAGTTAGACAATAAACGGTTGTATCAATCACGATGCTAAAAGTATCTCAAATGCTAAGCTATTACACACGTCCATTCGTAATTTTTCTCCTCCGAATAAAATAGGTAGTTTGGTTAAATAGCGAATAGCGCTGTTTAATACTGGGTCAGCTCTACAAAGAAAATGGCACGGGACAGTTATACGCATTAAAATGACCGTAAAAGTTTAATTTAGGTCCCCGAACCCTAAGATAGGACTAAGCTTGTGGGACCGAAATAAAACTTCCACCAAAATAACAAATGAAATGAAAGGACACTTGCTTTGTTGAGTGAAGAATGCGCAGTAGGGCTCGCACAACGCTGGGCATCTCCTGTTTTGTTGCACAGTAGTAGAGGAGTTGAGCCGTTGCCATAACGACCTGTCAATGAAAAACAGGGGACACTATGATGCGACGTCAGCGTGAAAAACACAATATTTGTCATGAACCAGTGCAGCATGCATTCGCCGACAGCAAACAGAGAAGGGTAGACCTTTAGTGAAGCACAGCAAATGCGATCAGTTATGGTCACCCGACTGCAACAGCTACATGTGAAAAGGTGAAATCTGAATCGCAGATTAGTGAATTAGCCTACTATGCCCCGCGTTTCGTGGACAGTCCTCTAGGATAACAAAAACGCCTGGGATGACAGTGCCTGCTTGTTGAATAGAGACGTCCGTCGATCACAGATAACAGTTCAATCATCAGTTCAGACAAGGTCCACTGTGAGCTCTGTTGTAATTTTGCCAAAAGCTACAATTTCTGTCGCTCCAGACGCTTTTTTTCGACCCCCTAGGAGACCAAGGGCGCAAGAGAAGGAGGAGACCATGCGGAGTACCGACCAGGCCAGTGTGTGAGTAAAAA